TGAACAAGTAACTAACGATACCCGTCCAACATTCACTCTCAATTTACGAATTCTAACGCGAGGTCTCGAAAAAAGGAGAAGAAAAAAAAATGAAACTTGAAGCAACTGGTTGCGAAAACGAGGAGAACAAGGTCTCCTTGGAATATTCGGTGCGGAGAAAGAGTTCCTCAGAGATGGCGTTACGCCGAATTCTTTTCGAGGCTGGTGGAGGAGGGGTGGTGGAGGGATGATCTCGTGTTTGCGAAGTTTTCGAGGGTGAGATAGAAACTATGAGTGGGTGTTGCGTTGCTTTCAGCGATTTAAACGAGTAAGGATCTTTCTGTTATTCGTATATTGTGTATTACTGATGTTGGCAACTAATCTTTTAAATACTTTAAAAAAAAAATAAGTATTAATATTAATTAACAAGTAAAGAATATAATTGCGACCAAATGTTGGATTAAATATGCGTTAGAAGAATCATCTTTGGGATAAAATTTCTTTGTGAGAGGTTTCTAATCGTATGCTTCTCCATTGTTAAGAAGTCAAGTGAAATTTTAATTGGTCAGTTGAAAAATGGACAAAAACTTGAAAAAAGGAATTCATGTTCTTTGAGTTATTTTTCTATTTTGAATCATGTTTGTTCATACTTTTTCAAGAAACAGTCATTATTTCTTGTTATAATAGTGTAACAGTGATATAATTAGTGTGAATAATGCTGTGAGCACAGAAAACTTTAATTTTGTAAAAAAACTTAATGTTTAGACTTCAATGTGATTATATTGACAGAAGAAAATGGTTTGAATATTTTGTTACGTTGCACTTTGAAAACAATACAACGTGGTTGCTTTAGGGAAAATTCATTCGAAAAGTTTTATTTTATCGTCTATTATTTATTTTACTGAAAGAAATAATAAACTGAAACATTTTTTTAACGAAACAATAAACAAACGAAAACAATTTATTATTATTATTAAAATAATTGGAAACAAGACTCACAAAGAAATATTTATTATACAATAATTTAATAGTCTATTTCTTTCTATTACATACACACATATAAACAATTGTTGATAAAATTCTGTTCTGTTCAATTTTATAAAATTCTGATTAGTTTCATTATTTTAGTTGTTACAAAAACTACGTTCTAATTATGATATATTACTCTATTCTATTTTATATTGTTTTATGCATATCGTAATGGTTATATTTTATACTATAATTCATATTATTATACTATCAATGCAATAACAAATTATTATATCAATTATGATAATATACATTCAATGACACGTTTGATATATCACAAACAAATATTTTCAAAGGAAAAAAAAAGAAGGACCAGTTTAAATTTCTTTGTATAAAAACTGTAAAGACTTCAGCCTACTCATCGATGGACAGAAAATGCACACGATACGAATACTTGAAAATGTATGAACAAATACAAAAGGAATACTTGAAAACTTCTTTCGTCGATTCATAACTTCAGACATCAATCGAAATGGAAATAAGAAATATCGAATGTTTCAATCTCTTGAAAGAGATTTTGCTTTTTTAAAAGGACGAACAAATGAAAAAGTTTCAATCAATCATTTTAATTAAAACTTCAAATTAACTATTAAAATATTCCGAAAATTTTTCACTATCTATCAACTATTCAAAATAACAATCTACGCACAATTATTAAAAAAAAAGTATTGTTTTATATTACTTAAAATAAAAAAAATAAAATAAAATCTAATTTACACATTTATATTTAATTTGCACATGTATATTTGCATTTTATCATATAATATTCAAAAAAATTTGAATATTTTGCCTGAATCTTTTTCAGAATACACTGTAAAATAAATTTCATCCGAAAGTTTATAATAATTAAATATTTTTCCTTAAAAAGTTTATAAAAAAAAATAACATCCGAAACTAGTCACTGAAGAATATCTAAATAATCTTTCTAATCTTTCTCTTGATCCTTAAACAACCCCTCGCGCTTTCCTTAAAAAAAAAGAAGAAACAAATCAATTCTCAACTCCTTAATAAACTTATTTACACCGCGACGAAATAAACCCTCTAAAAACTTCACATCCCTCCTCCTCCCCCGTGCAATTTCCTCCTCCATTCGATCGTCAACAAAAACACAACCAAATGTTTGAAACTGTTGAGATCGGCCCTATAAAACTAACGAAGAACGATCAGAAGTGCGCGACTGCGAGATCCTTCGAGATCAACGGAGAGAAACGAGATTGGAACGAGGCGAGAAAAGAGAGACGGCAAGAGGCCAGACTCAGAGGAGTAGTTCTCTAGTCTCAATTTTGAAAATTACGTTCCTTCGCTTATCTCCCGGCCAGCCAAGGATCTCGCATCTCTCAACCGT